ACGAACATTTTCGGGCGTGAATAATACGAAAACAAAAACAACTGTCACTGAAACGGCGATGACAATTCTTTAGGAACTGTCCACACTCAGTTTAAAGGCGTTATCATCTATGTATTTAAACCAGCCTCAGCCGGTGCAGCCACCTACCGGAAAACGGCGGAAGCAAAGTTGTACGCCTGATATAATACTCATATTATATAATTAAAAAGGGATATAGAAAATTTAGAAAATTAAAATCAACAAAAAAAGATGCATAAATGCTAGCACCAACATTTTATGGTAGTTGTTATTGCTTTTGTGTACTGAAAATATTACTTCTCCACTTCAAAGCTAGAAGTTCTAGTTAAGCTAAATAAAATTACACCATTAAATAGTTTATAATTTTATTAGCATAATTTGATGTTGGAAAAAGTTTGTTAAAAGAAAAAAAATTTTCAAACGTATATAAATTCTTTAGTGCCCTTCCCGAAACATAAAAAGAGTATCGAATTTTTTTCCAAATTTTCATAAATACCAGAGTAAATTTAACTATTTAGACCATCCGTACACCACCAGCTTAAGGTTAACAAAAAGTGAAGGGGGTGAGAAAAGTGCGAAGGAAAAACCAAACACTATTGACATACAACGAAAACCGCAACATGTTGCTGCAATATTGTTTGCTGCTTGCGCTGTAACGTTGACAAAAAGTGATGAACTTGGTTAGTCAAAGCGGCGACCACGAAGAGTCAAAAAGTTTGTGTGTAAAAAAAAAACAGATTTTTTCCACGCTGGGAATTAATGAAGAGTATGCAGTGTTTCTGACTGCTTACACCCGTGTTGTTTGGATAGGAAGAGCAAAACTCACAGAGGGGAAAAAGGGAAGTGATGAGAAACAATTTTCAGGTGATATGTTATTTTAATCGGTAATGGTATTGGTAATGATATTGGAGGTAATTATATAGGTAATGGTATTGGTGATGTTAATGGTAATGGTATTGGTAAAGGAAATGGTAATGGCAATAGTAATGTTATTGGTAATGGTAATTGTACAGGTAATGGTACAGGTAATGATACAGTTAATGGTACAGGTAATGGGAATGGTAATCGTAGTGATATGTGTAGTGATAAAGGTAGTGGTAGTGATAATTGTAATTTTAATAGTAATGGAAATATTTATGAAAGTGTTATAGATAATCATAATGGTAATTATAATTGTAATGATAATAAAAGCTTAACTGGAAATAACTTTTATAGTGATAATATTAGTAAAAATGAAATTAATGTTTATGATAGTAGTTATTGCAATTAAATTAGCAATGGATGAGAGTTTGGTAATTGGTAATGGGAATAACATCAAGCCGCGCACTGCAAGTCCGATGAGGGTTTCGGCCAAAAATCGCTTCAGCAATTATAAAAATCATATATATTGTGAAAAGGATAACGCGTTGCAGTTAGTTAGTTGGTTTTTGAGGTTTCTCGCTACATGGGCCTTCAGCAAGGATACTTAGGTCTGCTGATCCGTGGTGACATCTATGGAGGATGCGCAAAAAGAGACAACTCTCAAAATATTGAGTGTGTTTTATAAAGCCTAGAGTTTGCTGACACTTACTGAAGCCCTCCGCTTCATCTTTGTTCCAACAACTGCGATAGAAGTCATAAGAAAAACAGTTTATCCTCCTGCCATGGCTGTTATGCTAAAGAGGATCTTATTAAGAAATTAGTAGGAAAGTAATTTCCTTCGATAAATGACTAGATTTTTTTGTCAAAACAACAAGAAACTATGGCGTTTGAGTATGCCAGTTGAAAAGCAGTAATTTGGTATTTGTGAATATTACAAGTATGCAGCTGACCGTAGAAAATCAGTTAGAGATTTTAACTGTTATCTATCTCACTCTGAGAGCAATATAACTACGTAAGAAACTTTATTACAACCCGTGCTTATTAGATACCGAAGCAACTCACCCTAGAAGGTGAGCCAGGACTCCACGTTGTAAAGTTGCACTTATCGCATGCCTGGTTAACTGATCTTGGATATATGACTTGTCTTGCTGGTCTTTGGTATAAAGAAAGAGGCTATATAGACCCGTAGATAATGCTGAATTACTTGCATAAATTTGACCTTTTTCAGAGCACTCAGGGAGGTAGATAGTAGACAGAATATTTAGAATTTCTTTGCAATACTTTCTCTATTCGACGTTTAACTTCTTAATGCGTTCAAGGCCAATGCAGAAGGCTTGCCATGTTATACATAGTTTAATTTTTTAGTGTTTTTAAGTGATATTTATAGTAACTCTTGGCTCCGCTAAGCCGCTTTCTGTTGCTGTTCCGAAGCGCAGAGATTTTCCTTGAAAATCAACATGAGCCAACATTTATTTTGTACGCTTGTAATTTTGAGATTTTTTATCAATATAAGTTTCAGGAGAAATTAAACTCATTCAATTTTCACAAAAAAACGATGAAAAATTGTGTCAAATTAAGCCGCCTAACCTTCAGTACCTTTTCTGAATTATTACACACATCTAATTCGATTTTTCCAACGCCATAAACTTTCTAAATTAAACACTACGTCACACGCTGAATACACTTCTATATACAATATATATATATGTATATGTAAGCGAGAAGTTGTACAAATGTATGTATGCAATGAGGACAAAAAAAAAAGAATTTCGAAAGTGTCAAAAGTTAGTCCTTCGTTAGTGTCAACCAGAGAATTTGCTGGCGCTACCACAAAAAAAATTTATTCACTACAATCTGTATATATAGCGCCGAAATAATACAGCAGAAACTTATCTATAAGTTATTTTGTATTGGACTTGGGGCTAACGTAGGCTTAAGGGGGAGCGTGATTAGAGATTGCGTGTGAGGAAAATTTTCGCTCAAAAACTGCATATTTGAACAGAAATCATTTTGCTAGTAACTGAATTTTTACTGCCTACTTTTAGAACACATTGTCACTTGTGTCAAAAGTCATTACTTTGAAATAAAATTGTAACCAATTTTTTTTGAGCATTGCAAAAGGTTTCTGGAAGTGTCAATATGCTTTTTAAAAATTTTATTTATAAATACTTTATTATAATACTGAAACTTAGTTCTATATTGAATTGCTTTTCTTATGAAGAATTTTGAACGGCACTTGAGATGAATTCATGTAGTAAATACAAACATATCACTCTTCAAAAGCTTGTTAACTGTCAATTTAAGAAAGGTTAATGAAGTTGAAGCATTTAAGCCACATTTTAATTGGTTTTGCCTTTAGGCTCTAAGGGAATATTTTTGAACTAGTGACAAAAGTCACTACTTTAAAAACAAAATTTAATTTCTTAAAATTCGAAATCATTTAAGTCACTTTTTTACATAATTTTTCAATTAAAACACTTCCTTAAAATCTTTTTGAACTGGTCGTAAAAGTAATTACAATGAGTTGATTTATTCACTAGTTTACGTAGTAACCAATTCTTTTAAGCTACTACGAAGCAATTATTGCCTAGTAAAAATACACAACTTCGGGCCAATTTTTCTATTTAAATCCCTTCAATACAAATGCTTAAGATAGTGGCAAACCATGTTACTTTAAATATAAACATTAACTAATTTACTTAGTTATTTCTTAACTCTCAGTTCTCAATCAGCTCAGAGAATCATAACTTAAAACTCACATTTCACTAAGAAGCATTACTTTCGAACTACTCGCCATATAGTTCCTGCTGTGCTTAAATAAACAAATATTTATTTATCATCTTTTGTTTCCCTTATACAGTTATTCCCCCATACAGCCAGCTCTAACTTGACATGCACACACAGCAAGCATACTCTTCGACAATTTAGTAGATAAACTCCAATTGACAGCGCTCAAATTTCGAAGCGCCACATGCATTGTATCTACACACATGTGTATATGTAAGTTTATTTAGGTAAAACTTTTCAATATTCAAAAAACTTTTCTTCACACGCAATGCATTACACACACATACACACGTATGATTTTTTACAGCAAGCTTATCCAAAGATTTAGGAGCGATAAAAGATATACAGTATTTATGTATGTGCAACTGTTCATTGTTATATATCTTTGCACATATTCCAATATATTCATTCAAATATATATATACATTCACGAGTATATGCAAAACACTTTATTTTTAGTTGTGTTTAGACTAGTTTATGTTGATTTGCATTTAGATTGCTGGCAATGGACTCAAGATAGTCCGAACAGCCCAAATAGTTGAAGTTTAAAAACAGTCTTGGAAAGTTGTTGTTGTCTCCTTTTCTATATGTTAATGCCCTAAAAAGGGGAGTCTTTCTAAATATGAAAATTAAATGATATTTCTGTTAACTTATTTCTAATTAAATACTGTTTTAATGGTTTATTAATATTTACTTAATTGCATTTATTTAATTTCCTTATGTAAAATTTTGTTCCGTTTTCCTAATTAATTTCATTTTTACATTTATTTTATTTTATTTGGTTTTATTTTATTTTGTCTTATTTTATTTTAATATAATTTAGTTTATTTTATTTTGTTTTATTTAATTTAAATTTTTTTTTTAAATTTTTAATTGCATATAATTCAGTTAAATATATTTTCTTTTATTTCAGTTTTATTTCATTTTATTTTTTTATAATTTATTTTAATTTTTCATTCCTTTTACTTTTATTTTTTTTTTTTTTTACTCATTTTATTTAATTTTATTTAATTTTTTTTATAATTTTTTTTTGTTTTTATTATATTATTTTACTTAATATTATTTTATTTTAAATTTAATATTTTTGTTTCATTTTTTTATTTTATTTATTTATTTATTTCATACATATTAATTATATTTTATTTAACATAATTCAATTAAAATAAATAAAATTTAATATATTTGAAAAGAATTTATTATAATATAATTCAGATTAATATAATTTAAACAATTTTATTTAATTTTTTTTCTTGAAATTTTTTATCAAATATTATCGGATGTAAAGTTAAATTATTAAAAAAAAAAACAATAAATTGTTTATATTTTCTTTCCAGATGTATGCCATGACAAAGCATGCCAATCTCTTGCAACGATTAGGAGATTTAGAATGTCTAATATTGTTAGTGTCCTGCATTTGTCATGATCTTGATCATCCTGGCTACAACAACATATATCAGATAAATGCGCGCACTGAATTGGCACTAAGGTGAGTGCAAATATACTAACAAAATGCTTCACGATCAAAAGAGCAGAAATATTTTCAAATGTGATTTGCCATACTTGAGAAAAGGTATCTCTACGAGACTTTCTGATCATATTTGTCTCTCTCGTGCTTCTCTTGCAGATATAATGACATTTCTCCTTTGGAAAATCATCATTGTTCAATAGCATTCCGTTTGTTGGAGCATCCTGAATGTAACATTTTCAAAAACTTCAGCGGTGATACCTTCAAGTGAGTACTAAAATTATGATTTAAAAAAATTTAAATGAAATAAAACAAATTAAAAATAAACTATATTCAATAAAATTTAATGATATTAAATAATATAATTTGAAATAAAAAAAGGGAAAAAATAAAATGAAATGTAATAAAATGAAACAAAGCAAATTCAAATAAAATACAGGGACATAAAATAATAAAATATCATTATTTTATATTATTATAAGAAAAAAGTAAAAACAAACTTGATAAAATAAAAAACAATAAAATAGAATAAATTATTAAAATATAATAAATAGATTTATATATGAGATGAAGTAAAATAAAAAATAAAATAAAATAAAAAAATAAAAAATAAAATAAAATAAAATTAAATAAAATAAAATATAATAAAATAAGATTAAACAAAATAAAATAAAATAAAATAAAATAACATAAAATAAAATAAAATAAAATAAAATAAAATAAAATAAAATAAAATAAAATAAAATAAAATAAAATAAAATAAAATAAGATAAAATAAAATACATTAAAATAAATAAAAAAAATTAAAATACAGTAAATAAGGCTAAAAAAAAATAAATAAAAAAATACAAAATAGATAAATAAGCAAAAGAATTTAATATAAATGCAAAAAAATAGAATAGATAATAAAATAAATAGATTTAAAATGAGATGTAATAAAATAATAATCAAAAAATTTTGAAAAAAATTAAATAAATTTAGAATAAAATAGACTAAAACTAAATAATGACATCAAATGAAGTGAAATTCATATTTAAAATAAAATTAAACAAACTTTTTTAAAAGTAGAAATAGAATTTGAAAAAGGAAACTTTGGAATAATCCAAGTAAATTTCTTTGGCTTTTATGAACCTGGATGCCCTGCGTAAACCAGATTTTTTAATAACTTCTCTTTAATTCAACTTCACTACATAATAGCTGTCATTTATAATATCATTTTCTTATGACGTGTATAATTTGCAATACCTTTATTAGGGCTACGCTAGTTATAAGAGTACGTGTTGTCAAAAAATAATGTTATAAATAATACCAATACATATTTATGTCCATTAATTTTGTGTGCGTTGTTGGTCATCAGCCACCGATCGACATGAATTAGCCATACAACAATATTTCGCACAAATTTTAACAAAGTTTTATATATCAATTTGGCTGCTACATGTCCACTGCTGGCGCCCAATTGTATGCTACACCATAAAGACTCTAAATTGAAAAGTTAATAAATATTTATACGAGAATGTATATGAATATTTTTCTATAGAAAGCGCTAAAATATTTTTAGATGACAGTGTAAAACAAATATTTATTATAATATGACATATATATATATGATACATATATATATGAGAACATATAAATGTATATATATATATATATATATACAAGTGGGAGAGAGTGCATTTGAGTGTAATATTTTTGTCATATTTGATCATATGCAACACATGCATTTAAAAACTTTATGTACATTAAATGTCAACTTGGGTTGCTTCCATTATATCTACTGCGAGAAATAGCATTTGCCGTAAATAGAGCAGTATTGCCTAAAGGTGCAGTTAAGAGTAGCCACCAAAATGGCAGGCAACTAAATTTATATTGCCAATGTGACAGCTACTAATTTGCTGCTGTCATATAATTTTTTCTGGTTTGTATAAATATACATATGTGTATATGCCTGTATTATTCAGGCATATACATATAAACACATATATATTTATATGTGTGTGTTTTTATGTGCACATATGGGCATGCATAAATGTGTACGAAAAGCCATTTTAAGCAAACGCTTGCAGCAGTTGGCAAGTGCTAACCACAAATGGCATGGGGAAAGCAATGAATATGCAAAATTTAAAACATGGAGTTCTGATAAATCAATAACGGACTACGTTTGGGGACATACGAAAAAAAAATCTATATTTATATTTATATGTATACTCGTATATATATTGCAAATGGTTTCGCAAAAGATTTAACGGTCAAAAATATTAGCTTGCGTTATTTCGCTTTTATGGAAAAACAATTCTTTATATCATACATTTTTTTAAATATTTTGTGGTGTACAAAATAACAATTTAATATTTAATTTTTTTTTAAATCTGGAAAACTTTTTTTTTTAATTTTGATTGTGTTGAGGTTTTTATATGCGCATATACTTCTTTTCGAAATAAAATCTTATTTTTATTAATTTTAATATAAGTAGCTCTGTATATTTTAATGATAAGTTTCGGATACAATTTTCAATTTTTTCGTGAAAATTTTGCAAAATAAATAAAAACTGTTTTCAAATATATTACAAAAAGGTCATGAAGACTGGCAAAATTTGCATGTTTACGAAAAATTTTTATTTGAATTCAAAATAATGAAAAAAAAATATTTATTTAAAATTTTAATTATGAAAATAATTAAAATAAATTTGTATTATTAATTTCAACTGTTTCTTCAAATACTGTTTTGCTTATTAAGCGCATAAAATACCGACATTCTTCTATTTATTAATTTTAATTATATCAAAATTGTTACCGTAACTGTACCAGCTTAAGTGTCCTCCAAGGTCCACTGCTTTGGAAAGAAAACATTTGAAGCCACTGAAAGATCTGAGGTAGTCGCCCGCGGCGACAGCGCAAGCCAGCCTAGAAGCTTTTTTTTACGACCTTCTACATTTTTGTGATCTGGGACCAAAGTAATATTCACTATATTAATTGCCTCTTCGCATGTTCTTACGTTCTTTGCCTCTGTGCATTGACACGCTTAATTGCCTTAACTGCGACTTGGCTTTCTACCAAAAACCTGATAGATCTTCTTATTAGAGCAGTTTCTCATTTGGTCGTTTGTCTAAAGCCCTAGAATCTGTGTTCGGTAGACAGAGTTGTAGACATTGAGTATGAGTTTGGGGTCATCACAGAAAAACCCTGCCCATGCGCATTTTGATCCATCAGTTTATATATATATATCTAAAGTGTTTCAGATGGGATAGCCTTCTGACTTTTCTTTACCGCTTTCAGATTTCTCGTGAAGAGCCAGCTTTCAGAAATTTCCCGGTATACTAAGTGTCCTTGTCTCTCAGCCCTATCAGCTGCGGCTTCAAGCTGGCATGTTTGCCATAAAAAAGGGTGATAAAGTCATCTGCATTACTACTACAGACATAACCTTTCTACTGTAAGCAGTTAGAGCTAATGAAATGCGACGACGTGACCTACAAAAGCGACAACAAGATATCCCCATAACATAATTTTTTTTAAGTACGAAAATCACTAAAACGAAGAAATTGAAATTATATGCCAAACAAATATATTTCTCTTACTAACTCACTTACTATAATGTCTTTACTAAATATTGCTAATTTTAAAAATTACAAAAAAAAATTATTATTTAAAATACATTTTGTGTTTAATGTTGCTTTGCTTTATTGTAGATATATTTATAAATAGACATATTTTTTTATTTTGTTTATTTATTTCAAACATGCTGTGGAAATAGTGTTGTCACATAAAATGTCATTACTTAAAGTTTTATGAAGAGAGATTTATTTTTTTATCGAAGAAAACTCGGTAAAAATTTTTTATAATAAAAAAAATAGAACACGATGTGTGACAATTAAGTTATAAGACTGATTTAATGAAAACCGTATATATCAAAATTATTCTACAACTCTGCCATCTCCTTCAAAGTAGTCTTATTGGGCAGCTATACAACGATTCCAACGCGTTTTCCATGCTCCAACATTTCTGGGATGCTTCGACTGGGATTGCGCCTGGATGTACTCAATCAACTCGAAATGGATTCGTTAGACCACAGGTTTCGTTTAAGGGTATGAAAAAAGCCACAGGGTGACATATCGGGCCAATTACTGGCGTACATTTGCGAAGCTGTTTCGTCCCGTTTGCCGTAAAATTTCATCGCGACGGGTTTTCTTGATTTCGGATTTTCATTATCGTGACGAGCACCACGAACATACGTTTACTCAACATCATACAACAGGCGAACTAAACAAGCTAAAGGGATGGCGCATGTAATCAGTGTCATTACTTAATACGTCTTTTGGCAAAATATTTTTAGATCATAACCATATATATGTATATCCAATTTACTTTTATTTACTGCAATTTTAATTAAAAAAACAAGATTTCACATTTTTTAGCTGATTAATTTTGTGCATTCAGTAATAAAACAAAATTCTAAAAAATACCAAATTTGACATATGTATTTGTCCTTAATTCTAAAAAAGAAAGAAAAAAAGCTGCGAAGACTTATATTAAATTTCGCTTCATTGCCAATGTTTTTCAATTTAAATCAAAAATATATTTTTCTTAAATTGCTTAAACCAATTTCACCAAAAAAATAAAATATTATCAAACCGATATTTGAAAGCCACAAATTCAATACATCCACACACCAGATATGCTTACATACATACATACATATATATTATTTCACTATAATTAATTAAACGTAAGTATTTGGTGCATTTCATGGATTTAAAAGCAGTGCAAGCATTTAACGGTTTCACTGGCAAACCATATTAAAATGGCAAAAAATTATGAATGCAAACAAATAACAGTAATTTAATTAATTAAATATGTCGGATAATAAAGTTAGCTGGGAAAATCAAACAACGCATAGTAGCATATATATGTATTATACATAAATCATATACAATACATATGTATTATAAATAAATTAGAATATAAAATAAATATTTAAGCGCTCCCACTGTGATTTTCATACGGAATTTCAATAATCTAACAATTCAACAGCAATTAGCAAGTGAAATTAAAATTCACATATAACCAAATATTATACATGCACGCACAGAAATATTGCACACCAGCATATAGAGATAATAATAAAATTAAAAAAAAAATAATATTTTTAGAAAATGCAAAATTAATTTATTTTAATAATGCAAAGCGTTAAGAGTGAGACTTAATTAATATTTATATGCTCATTTAGAGATTTTATTTGCATATTGTATGTCTACATATACATATGCTTGTTTGTATACATTCAGACGTATCTAAAGTTGTATGCCAGAACATCTGCCTAATATGAATAGATATAAGTGTGTTAAATTTAATTACACTGTTCGTCTAGTCTGAAATTCATATGCATGTATGTATGTGTATGTATTTAGGTTTTAATTTTTCTGCTAAAAAAGGCTGAAAATTTAATATTTAAGGGGAAATTTTAAATAAAATTGAAAATGAAAATGACAACTTGGTTGGCGAGAAGTGTGCAAAAAAATGAACTGATTGATAGTTGAAAAAAAAAGAATTATTAGTTTAAGGCATGCTCTGCTTTAGAGGCTTTGAAAAGATGAATTTTTTTCTTAAATCGATTCCAAAACTATCCAGGAACATGTTTTCAAAAAATCGGCATATTTTTGAAGCCAAAGCAGTTTTAGTCGCCGAGAGCAGAACTTTTATGCTCGTTTTCTCAAGTTTTCATTTCAACCAGTCTTAGAAAACGGTGCCGTTGATAGCAAAAAACAAATCAAATTGATATAGCTTCAGTATTAAATTATCTTCCATTTGAACTAAAAAAAAGTCGGACAAAAAAATATATTTCAGTTCTGAAGTGCAAAACTTCCTGTTATGTCTCCATTTAAAAGGTCTATTTCGAGTTTCCTAGTTCAAAAGCAGACGCTCTGGTCCTTTCTACATGACTAACTGAAGGTTCTATAGGTTTTCCTTACCAAATAAGGTCAAGACCTCTCCGTCGAGCACCATAATCTCATAGTTTGTGTGCTCCATTCTCACTGGCATTTTAAGTTCTCAATCTAAATAAAATTCGAAGGGATGCGAGGTAATCCTACTAGCAGTCTGGAGTCTGAACACCACACCGATAGTGAGAACTTTGTAAGTTACGCGTCTTATATGTCCCTCCGCTGTTCATTTTGAAACCAACGTTATGGAGACCGAAGCTCGGTTTGCAGACTAAAATGCATCAGCCAATCTCACTACCGCCATATATTAAAGTCTCCAGAAATTTCGAGAAAATTCGAAGCAAAAAATCGAAGTCTATGCGCAATACATTGCGGAAGCTCATAGATTTCAGTTCTGATCCAATTGGATCGCCAAAATTATTTAAAATTAATTTAAATAAAAATAGAAATTACAGAATGAATTAAAAAGCTCCTCATCTTCTTTGTCTTGTGAGTAGTAATGGTCTAATGCTGTATGCATGTATGCTCTAGCCCTGTTTTTCAGGTGTATAAGCTCATTGTAGTTAGGAGAACACTCTCTTCAACGGTGGTGTTTTCTTCTTCTGCTTCATTGGCTTAGACACCCCTTACGGGATTTTAGCTGCGCCATATTCCTTCGTTTTTCTCGCCGTTTAATGGCAACATTCTCATATGATATAGTCTTCGGATTTCGATGGTTTTCTGCAAAATTTTTTATTTGTTTTTTTTTTTTTTTTAGTTATGGAATGCCAAATCTCATAATTTTTTTCCACCTGGTCTCTCCAATGGAGTGGAGCTCCTCCTCTGCTTCTGTCGGCTTGTACTGAATCGAAAAGTTTCAAAGGTGCAGCTATGTTTTTCATGCAAACCGTGTGACTGCTGTCCATTGATTCACAGAAATATTTATCTTATTGTCCTCGTATATCTCGTACAACGCGCTGTTTCATGAACAGCAGTACTCGGCTTTACAAAATGCAAAGGATCATAAATCTGACGCATCGATGGTATAGACAATGCAAAATCACATGTTGTCTAAGAATTTTATTATTGCTGTCGTCAGCGTCAGACCATTTGCTTCCAGTTTTGTACTTTCCACATTTCTGTTATGATGGATCTTCTAACATCTTGGAAGATATAACGCCTCAATCGGTTATATCGGTGGTATCCCCTATTATAAAGAATGCTCCAGAACCTTAAATGTTTCATCTCACTGGCTCACTACCTTAGATGAAATTTCAAGGCACTTATTGATAGCCGCATGAAAATTAATATCCTTAAATCGGCCGCCCATTTTCTCCTTCGCAGCTTCTATAATTCCATCAATCTCTGCTTGGAAGACAGAGTTGTATTCGCTTATATTGAAACTGTCTGCTTTATTGAGGCGGCTAAAAAAGAACCTTGCTCCTGTGACTGGCTCACATATGGACCCATCGCTATACGATGGTAAATGCAGTACAACCTGGCTGCCTTGACTTCTGCCCAAACTCGCCTGTTCGGGAAGCGTAGATGATATCCAACTAACAGAAGGTTTACAGTTCTTGGTCAGGCTGTATGTTTTTAACATTAATTTGGTTTTTTTCGTGACAATATTTTTTTCGCTAATTTTTTTAATTAATTTTTTCTTTAATTCTTTTTTTATAAATGTTTTTTAAGAATTACCAGAAATTAATATTTCATATTAATTTTTTTGCAAGAATTTTTTTTTTCCTGATTTTCCCAATTATTTTTTTCCAAAAACCTCTTGCTTTAAAACTGACACACCACTAAGAATGTTTTATTTTAATATTTACACCAAGTTTTAATTTTTTTATTGCCATCTTTAAAAAATTACAGAACCAACGCAGTAGCTTTACTAAAAAATTAAATATTTTTCAAACATTTCACTACTCTTCGCTCCATATACTGCACTTATTTGCCGGATTCATTTCGCTATGCTTGCCACAACTGTACGCCTGAGTGAACTCATCGAAGTTGCTCACCACATTGTTGACGCGCAGACTGTGCGCATCATGTAAGCTATTCTCCGACGACGCGCTCTGCCCGCACCATGTCTGCGCGAAGCTGAGAAAGAACAACTTTAGCTGCGTCGTACTTAAAGTAGAATTCGCGCCAACACCAGCAGCGTGTCGATAGGTTTCCAGAGCAAGCCGCAATCCCTCTGTGTCGGCAATATTCTCATTCAAAGTCACCTCGCCATCTTCATAACGCTCGCTAAGATAACAACGCGATTTGCTGCCAAAACGTATTATCGACTTTGCACCCCAATTGCCGGCGATATTGCCCGACTGATCGTAATTGAAGCCATCATAATCGAAGCCATGCATTAGTTCGTGCGCAATTATGTAGACAAAACTGCCGTAGACCTTCGCCGGATCGAGACAATTGTGGTAGAATGGCGCGCGTAAGATGCCCACCGGCAGCTCGATGGTGTTCTTCTTCAGTCGATAGTAGGCATTCACATCGAGTGGTCCATAATTATTGTAGGCGCGTGGCGCGCTGCGTCCTGTTAGCAACGTTTCTAAAACTTCTTTGAGTTCGTTGTGTATGCGCCAATGCCAGAGCGCTAATAAGTTTTCATCATAGTTGTCGCTCAGTACGATGTTGGCCGGCAGTTGATCTTTATTGTTGGCCGCCGCTTGTGGTAATACCAGGCGCATGGCTCGCAGTTTCTCCAAACCCAACAATTTCGTGTGCGCATCGCGTTCGAAGACATTTGTCCCGTTGAGCGCGCGTTCGAATGCCACTTTGAGCTGTGTGAAAATTTCATTTAATTTCGTTTGTGAGTGTGCCATGTAAGCGCTGGCATCGACGTCCGCATACTGCAAGCGCATAAAGATCTCAGTGAGCTCGGCCGGTAGGAAAGTGTGCAGTTGCTGTAAACAATGATCGCGCTGCTCTTGATAGCTATCCTCCTCGTGCAGGCGCACCTCGAAGTGTGCCAGAAATTGCACGAGCAAATATTTTGCGACCAACTCGGGTTGCGTGCGTTTGAGCAGCGTGCTTAACTTGCGTAAGTAAGGCACATCGGCGACAACCAGCAGCCGTTGCGCGTAATCAACTGGCAACTCAGCGCTTATATCGCGCATTACAGTATTGAAATATTGACCCAATTTCAGCTCTGGTAGTTGCGCTTCCAATGCCGCCAAGGTTTGTGGCTCGCGCAATAACACCAGACGCTCGCTAGGCACCAGCTGAAATAGCGCCTTCTCAAACTCGACCACCTCACCGGCGATAGTGTGCGCGCGTCGCACTCGCACTCCCAAATCTAACATTAAATACTTCACATAACGTTTGTAAATATACTCCGAGTCACTGTCGTAGTGCACAGCATGGCGCGTTGGTTTCAATAGATCAAATGCGGGCGCTGAGATATAAAAAACTTGTTGTTCTGACTGCTGCCAGTTACTGGTGATCAACAAACGCCAGAAAGCTTGCACGCCAAAGCGTCGCAACTCCGCACTCAAGTGTACTCCCCAGCTGAGGCTGTCGTTGTGCGGTGCCTGCAACCAATAGGGATTCAACACTGGCCAATCACTTATGCTACGCAGCGACTCAGTGTATGTGTTCAAACTGGACGCTTCCACATTCGTATGCACACGTCCGCCATCTTCATCCACAATGCGCTCTACGCACGAACTAAAAAACCGCACCGCAGTCTCTTCACTGCGCTTCAGCGTTATGCGCTTACCAACTGCCAACATCTGTCGTTGCTTTTCCAGCAGATACTCCAACAATTGTTGCTTATTGTCCGCCTTCACTGTGGTAAGTATGTCGCGTGCACCACGTGAGCGCAACTGATATGGCGCGCGCCAATTACCGCAAGCGTACTCATAAAAATCATCACACGGCCACATGACGTCGTCCACATAACCGTACATTGCATCGAGTTGCCGAGGCCAATAGTCGCTAGCGCAGGCAGGCAGCATTGTATTGGGCGTGGTGGTGGCGGCGCTGCTAAGGGGCGCGCTAGTGGTTGGCGTTTCATCACTGTCAGCTGTTGTTGCTTTTGTTGCTGCACCTTGAATGCGTTCCTCACCAACCAAGGTCGCAGCGGCGTCAATGACGTTGATCTTCTCGTGTGGCAGCCATAACAGTGTCAACAGCGCGGCGGCGCCTAACGCGCGCCGACAAAAATTTTGCATTTTCAAATCACTTCTACTCCACATCGCGTACTCTCGCGCACTGAATAGCTTTGTGTGTGATTTTTTCGAAAATAATATTTTGCCCATTATCAAACGCATAGCTGGCCAATGATAAGCAATCAGCTCTCTGCTGCCTTGTGCTTGACACTGTTGCGCGGCGCCGCCTTGGTTTGCGAATTGATTTGTTTTGAATTCTGCTGAAACAGCATCAGACGCGCTCGCTTATCGCTTGAATGTGGCTCGTGAAAATGTTTCAGATCACTTTTGAGTGATTAAAAATAAATAACATAAAGACACGAATATGTGTTTTTGTATAAATGAGAAATTTATTTATATTTATATGTATACACATAAACGCTTACGTTTTACATGAATAAACTAAAAATAAATCATTTATTGTAAATAAATCCACTTTTTTAGACAATATTAGGTCTAGTAAAAAGTAATCCGCTATTTTTTGCATTAAATTGAAGTATTTATTTCCCCTAAGATGTATGGCCAATGCGCACCGGTTTGCTCGATAACATTTTTTGGCATTTTTGCGAATTTTTCGATTCTCTCATTGAAATCCTTCACTTTGCACAGGCTTTCCTTGAAACGAATTCTTCACCAGCGAAATGAATTGCCATAGACAGGAACAGTTGGGAGCCACTTGGCGCGTGGTTTGGACAATAAGTTGTATGCTTAAAGACCTCCAACGAAGCTCTTGGAGCTTCTGGCGAATCGCTTTCGACGTATTTGTGGTCTGACGTTGTCTTTATGAAACAAAATTTCCCTCCTGTTGGCCAAAGCTGGGCGCTTCTCTTCAATTGCTTCCTTCTGATTGTTCAATTGCTGACAGTACGACAAGTCCAATTAGTGGATTATTCCTTGCCAATCCCCCCAAACCCACAACAAATATTTCCTGGCCGTCAGTCTTGGCTTTGGATGTCATTAGAGCTTTCTCACTGCCTTTCGACCACGACCATCACCACTAAATACCCGTTTCAAAAATGTGTTGAATTTATGCGCGATTCAGCAGCGACACGCAGTAGGAAACTCGGTCCATGAAGTTTTTACGCCCTAATTCATGTGGCAGCCGTACATCGGGCTTCTTTCTGTATCTTTTTTCAAGTAGCTCAATATTACTTTTTGCGCAATGTTTAGCTCTTGGCCTAGCGAAACAGTGCTCGCATGACGGTCAGACTCGACGATTTCTATTATTTTATCGGCATTTTCGTTAATTGGCTTTCCTCACCGTGGCGCAACTTTCACATAAAAATTTCCGAAATGAAAACGACGAAACTAAAATTGTGCGTGAGTGACTGTTACAGTATCAGGGGCACTTTTTCAACTGTATTTCTCCTCCTTGTTCATGCGGCTTCTGCAAGATATTCTAAATAGAATTCCCAGTCTCACTGCATGTGAACCTATCCAACACTGATTGGTTAAGACTCCTCTGCTCCTTATCTTGCGATCTTATTTCAGCCAAGTGTAGCAGTGTTTTCCCATCTTAATTCGTCCTACCTATTGGTCAGTTCTTTTAAGTGCCAAAAGGCTTAGGAATGTGTGCTCTGTCGGAAAAATTCGGCACAGTCGGGCATAGTCTTGCACTTTCGAAAACCTTTATGTCCTTGTGAGCTGAAATTCTAATGGGAGATAATCTAATTTGGTTGGCTACATCGTTAAAAAAATAAAAGTTTGTAGGCGAGTTTAGCTCCAATGTTAATAGTTATAGTTTGCTGCCTTCGTAAGTGCTTGAAACCTGATACACCGGAGCGATCGGAAAGTCTGAAAGAGAGCACAATAGGTGGGTCTCTTGAAAAAGCACCTCAGTTAACTCGTCCATCGAGTTTATATCCATACGAAACTCCACAACTTTTCTAAACTCAAAACCTAGCTTGTCGGTTATATTGTACTTGATTTGTCCATGCATGAGTTTTTTCCTTTTTTTTTAATTTTTTTTTCTATGACTTAGAACTAAATTAAGTGGAATATCGTTTATTGGGAATCTTCCAAAAATTTCTGTTATGACGAATCCGTTGCAAATCAATGGAATTTTTATAAATTCAAATTTTTTTCCCAATAATTGTTTCAAAAATATTTATTTTTTTATTTAAAAAAAAAATATGTTTAATTTATTTTGGACACTTTTCAGGTAACTTTCTGGGTAATTAAACGAAATTGAAGAAAAAAATGAGAATGAGAAAAATGCTTGAAAAATACACAAAATTTTGCAGCTAAAACAAATTTTAAATCAAAATAATTAAATTGTTTAAAAAAGACATTAAATTAGTTTAAAAATAGTTTAAAAGTATTTTAAAAATAATTACATTTTTTTAAATATAATTAAACTAATTTTGTTGGCCTAAAATATTATTCCTGTGAATAAAAGTAAAAGCCAATAATAAGAGCTGCTAATCTGCTTATACACAACACTACTCTACTACTAACTTTCTACCACCTTTCGCGCAGATTTTTGGGCTAACTCAGCCACAGCTGGCGGAGCCTGGGTTTTCTAGTGCTCAAGAGTTTAATAATCGACGTATGTACGGCACTGTGAATGGTCAGCTGGCTTCGGTTGTTGCTTGAGCTGAACTTCTCAAGGATATAGATGTAAATCCAAGTGCAAATTACACCATAAACAAGAAAGTCCTAGCTTCTAAGAACGTTAAGAACGTCGGGAAATGCACGCATTCTTGTCTTCGGCTACACTTTTGATTTACAGTAGCGAATATTTGAATTTTAATTGAGTTTGAAAAAATACTGTTTTTAGAAATCAATTTTCAAAAAAATAATTTTTTATTTATTTTTCCTTTCATAGAACTGAAATTTTTGTTTTGTTTACTTCTTATTTGCTCGAATTTTAAAAAAAAACCGCAATTTTTAATTTATATCCTTTTTTTGTAATTTTATGAAAATAAAATTTTATTTGAAAATAATTTTCACACAAGTAAACTACAATATTTCGCAAAAACAAAATTGTTTCAGGCATTTTCCGCACAGTTTTTTTTTTTTTAATAAAGAATGTCATTTTTATACACACACACATACTCGTATATATGTACATGCATATATATATAATGTAATGTAATATATATATATATATATATATATATATATATATAACAATTTTTTGTATTTACTTAACATGTCAGTCAGGTACGGCAAACAAGAGACGAAGAACAATAAATGTCAATTATAAGAGTGCGCCGTTGTTGTGTTTTCGGTTACACCATTTTCGGTCAGCAGTCACAGACAATAAGGCGCGAGCTGGTAAAAACAAAGCAAAACACACACACCCACACACACACATAGATACACACAAATTTTATACAATACCCATGCATACGTATGCACTAAAATGGAATGAAATTATTTTATTGCTTTTCATCTATGTTTATGTCTCACATACATACACGCACACACACATGCATATTTATAAATACAAACTCAACTATTTATGCCGCGTTGGGCTGTTCAATTGTGGCACGGTACAACATGCAACAATTTTTACAATTACAACACCAACTGTGTGGTCAGTGCGACAATGTATTCTCGCGCTTACACACATACATATAAACACACTCACCTACACATTTTTGCAGTTTTTACTCACTTTTCGCCATCTTCCCACCTCTCCCCGCTCTATATTCTGCATTGCCTACGATTTGGCCAGTTGTAGTGGCAGTAAAGAAATTGATATATAATTTATCTATATTCTGACGCGCTGACTGGTGCTGACTGCTGCTGACCATTTAGGTATTTGTTGTGGGGCTCATAATACTAGCTTATATATACACACACACACCTACATATGTACATTCATATGTGCAAAATGTTTTACTGCTAAAAGTAATTGCTTTTCCACGTGCGACATGAACCTGGCTGGATAGCTATATGTATATATGTAGATTTATATGTGTTGGTGCATTAGGGCAAGTGCAAATCACAAAGTCGATCTTTACTGGTTTATAGATATCAAATTTAGAATTTTAAAATCATCTTTGGAAAGGTGTTGCACATAAATTTTACATATCCAATGTTTTATTAATTATTTGCTTTTTTAAATAATTTTTTCGTTAACAAAATTTTAAAAATTTTTTTTTAATTTTTTTTTAATTTTTTTTTTCGAAAAAATTTTGAGCAATTTTTTTTTTTTAATTTCTAAAATTTTCAAAAATACATTTATACTACAATCTATAAATCTTAAATGATATTGCAATGCTTTTCATGCCATTTAATAATTTGAAAAATTATTTTTTATTTATTATTATTTGCCATCTATTGCAATGATTTTAAGCACTTTCTTGACTTTGTTACAATTAAAAAAAAAAAAAATTAAAGACAGTTTTAAAATTTTGAAAGAAATATATTTTATGCGATTTTGGGAAAAAAGTCATAATAATTTAAGAAGTAACATCATAATCCATCCCAACTCTGTTGAGTATCTCTGTGAATTCCTTGACTAAAAAATAAAACTGTAGCTGGAGATAACGTTTCGAAAGCAGAGCCAAAGCACGCCGAATTTGCAATACCTGCAGTAGAAGTTTTCAGGTTGCAGATGCAACGTAATTGTGTATGTGGTATATCAGACGCCAAAAATGATCCTACAAGTCATCCTTTGACTTTAGACCAATTAACACACAACATACAAAAGCGACTAGCTGTTGCGCTGTTGCGCTACACATTTGTTTCCACTACCCAAATTGTGTGTGGTACATGGTGACATTCAGGAAATCATATCAGTGCTCTGAATCGGAAACCTACTGACAAATAGAGGATGGAAAGTGAGCCCATCTATGCTGATAGGCCTAAATATGAGGCAGGCAAAGAAGGAACGCTTAGCTGGTTTTCCGGGAAGGGAACCAATGACCCACCTATTTGAATATCTCTTATATTAAATTTGGTTCGATTTGCTTGAAATTCTCTATTTTTTCACTGAGTAAACTGAGTAAACCAGCTATCGATCTTTTGAAACAAAAAAAAACTGTCCCGTCCAAAACGGTTGTTGTAATTTTTTCAGTATTTCCAATAAAATTTATG